TCGGGATGTTGCGAAAAAACTAGGGACCTCGTCGAGTAACGTCATGCGTGCCAAAGAAAGACTTGGGCTGAAAACATACTGGAAGCAGAAAAAAACCCAGAAGGAACCCAAAACAGGCCTCGTCCGTGAAACCACAAACTCTACGATTCCTTATTGTGTCGAAATTCTGGGTGTATAATAATGGACGACGAAACGTACGTGAAACTAGATTACAAAACGCTTCCCGGACCACAATTCTATATTGTAAGCGAAGACAAGGACATCCCCGAAACGGAGAAGGCAATTTTTACCGAAAAATTCGGTAAGAAGGTTATGGTTTGGCAGGCAATATGCGAGTGTGATAAAACATCTAGTCCGTTCATCACAATGGAGACGATGAACACTCAGAAATACGTTAAGGAATGTCTCCAGAAGCGATTGTTTCCGATGATCAGGCAGCACGAAGGTCAAGTAGTATTTTGGCCTGATTTGGCGTCATGTCATTACGCAAAGGACACTTTAGAATGGTACAAAAGTCAAAATGTATGTTTCGTGCCGAAAGACATAAATCCGCCAAACTGCCCGGAGGCACGGCCAATCGAGACTACTTTTTGGGCTTTAACCAAAGCAAAGCTTCGAAAATTAATAAAACCAGCGGACGACATCCAAAAATTAAAAAAAAAATGGCCAAAAGTGGTCAAAATGGTGGGAAGTACCACTGTGCAGAAGCTAATGGGTCATGTTCGAGGAAAAGTTAGAAGTCTTGGCTATGATTAAATATGTTGATTAAACGAGAGTAAAATTTCATTTGAAATACAAATACAAATATGATTTGCCAAATAAAATTATTAAAACTTAAAAAACATGACTTTTTTGTTATTTTGAAAGTGTGCTTATACTTTCTGGCACAGTCTATAATCACTTAGTCACTATGAACGGAGTTCCAATTTCAAGGTCAAAGTGAAATATATTGGAATAGTACTTTATCAAAAATTAACTTTTAAAGATCACATTGAGGGCATTCAAGCCAAATGTAACATATATATAAAATCAGGCATAACATTTGATAACGGCACAAAAGCATTTGTAAACAAACTTTCTTTACACGCGAACCAATACCACTTTTGGAAAGGTGATAGTTGCCCGGTTCGCGTGTTAATGGTCTTAGAAAGTTTGTTTACAAATGCTTTTGTGCCGTTTAAAATGTTATGCCTGAAATTTTTTGTATCCTCTTATAAACAGGAAATCCAAAATTTGCCTGACGAATAAACTTCTTATATTTAAACAAGTTTTTAGACCAGCCATACTTTACGCTGTTCCAATATGGTCTAGTCGTCGCAGTACCAGAAAAAAAGCACTTCAAAGGATTCAGAACAAAGTTCTGAAGATGATTTTGAAGTTGCCTCCCTGGTACAGTACTACCGAGGTAAAAGCTGTTTAAAATGCTGAATTTCCAAGGCAGGAAGAATGTAAAAACACTTAGCTATATATCATAACAATTAAGGCTGGTAAGTCACTGCAGAAGCTGGAGCACTTTGGTTAAAATGAAATGCAATTTATTTTGAATTAGGAACATATAAAGAGTTTAAAAAAACACCTCACCACCGACCAAGTGCACCTCGCCCACCTCATCACCATTGAAACAAGTCGATCAAGGCTAGCAAAAAACCACATCACAAACCCTTGAACAAATGCTATTGGGTGACAAATCAATTCCATCCGGATCTCGTCAATAAATCATTAAATGAGGTTAGGACAAATGGAAAGGAAGTTTGTATTCAGTGTTCCATCATTGCAGATGTCAACCAATAATTATAGTTTGGGATTGACATTGATAACGTTTACATGAGTTAGAAAAAAAAATTACAAAAATAGACAAAATTTTCATATTTCTGGGATTTTTAATAATTTTCAAAACTTTGAACATAGAACATTTTTAGGAATAAAACAGATTATAACATTTAGATTCCAAGCATTCCGTGCTCTGAAATACATTTTTAAACGGGAACTTTGTTCAATTTCAGAATTTTCGATTTTTTAAATAATAAATTAAAATCTGAAATAATTGTGAATTAATTATTGAAGCTTTGATGCAGTCAACTATTCAATCGGCTTGATTCCAGTTGGTCAAATATGCTTTCATTTAAATGTCCATCCGACAATTACTCATAAGGCCACATATTTTTCGGCATTTGGACATAATTCATGATTTTTTTTTTGAAAAAAAAAGAGAAAAGGATTAGTAATTTTCATTTAATTCCGTCAGTGTCTTGTACTAATGCTCGAGCTTTAGTACAAGACACTGACGAAGTCTGTACATTGTAGACGAAATGCGCGTATCTGTCAAGAAAAAGCAAATAAGGTAATGGAATTAAATGAAAATTAATAACCCTTCTCCTCTGAGACGCCCACATTTATCAGGATTCGTTGTAAATAGTGTTATACAAAATTTCAAATTTCACTTCCTTTATGACTGTAATTCATACCAAGACTGACGCTGGCTTATTTTGGTCTCGGATCTCTAGTGTTCCGTAATTTCTTGTTTCTAAGTTTATCATATTAAATGACTAATTTCAGGGCTGGTAGTGCTGATGCGATATAATAGTAGTGACTTTAGTGACTAAAATTACGGAAATAGTGAGCAAATAGTGACTTGTAAATGCTAAATAAGTAACCATTTAAACGGTAACTTAGAAACTCAAGTACGGTTTGATATTGAAATAAACTTTTTATGTCATGGAACTTAAAATCAAATTTCATAAATTCCTCTAATTTAATTGAATCTCACAACGGAATCTCCTGTGAAGAGCATTTGTAGTGATTTGAATGATGTACTTTTGCTTGCGTTAAACATGATGACTAGCAAATGGTAATTGCCATTTTTATGATCTTAAATTTGATTCTACGTTCAAAATCTCTAAATATTTGATACATATATCTAGGTAGATAACTTTGATAATTACATACATAATATTGCATTCTTGAAATTCTTTGCAGAACAATCAGCAAAGTTCTTGGAAATAGATTATTTTCGTAGTTGGAAAGGCTTAACATCAAATATCAGAATTAAAGTGAACATTTTATACGATGGTTGAGGAGATGAAAGTAAAGAGTTGATAGTTCCGTTATAGTGTGGCGGTGTGAAATTTGTATACAGAAAGTAGAAAGCGAACAAAGGACAATTTTGAGGAAGGTACGAATCGGGTAGAGCATCTCCTTTACCAAGCTCATCCGTTAATGAGGGATGGTGAGGGGTGTTTCCCCCTGCCACCACTGATGTGCGGAAACAGTTCTATTGATTGTTTCACGCTCAAGTCGCCATTTGACGTAAACAACTACCCGATTCGTACCTTCCTAAAAATTGTCCTTTGTTCGCTTTCTACTTTGTATAAACAATTTCCACACTGCCGTACTATAACGGAACTATGAATTCTATAATTGAATCTCCTCATCAATCGTATAAAATCTCCACTCAGTCTGATATTTGACGTTAAGCATCTGTGACTATGTAAATCGTTAAATTCACGCATGAAGTAGTAACACATGATTAGTTAAAGTAGATTATTTTCGATTTTTTATTGATTCTTCTAGAAACTCCCTGAATGATCCTTCCATAAATCAATCCTTAGAATTTCCATGCATTTAACCTCAGAAATTTCATAAATTTCTGCTAAGAATAATCTTGGACTTCTGACTTGCATTCAATTGGAAATTCAATTCGTATTCTCCTTAGAATCCCCATAGTATTTTCTCAGAATTCTCAAAACAAAAATCCATCACAAACTTTGAAACTCTTCTCAGAATTCCTTTGAGATTGAACCCTCAAAATTCGATTCCATTGGAATGCTTCTCGGAATTTATTTCGAACTCTTTAGAATGCTCTTGGAAGTATCGTCAGAAATCATTCCAGCATTCTTTTAGAATTATCCGCAGAGACCATCTTTGGAGTTCACGGGCTTTCCATGGAATTTTCATCAGAGCAAGCAAAATTTCAGAACTAATTTTGAATTATTATTAGAATTGGACCTAGAATCTTCATCCAATCATCATAGAATTCTTCTCAGAACTCTCGTTAAAATGCACTCTCAATTACATTAGAATTATTTCCAAAATTTTTTCGGAGCTGAATCAAATAATAATTCTCTAATAATTTAAACAATAATCAAAAGCGACGCTCGTATGTGTTAAGTCAAGTTTAACTATGTAGGTAAACCTAGCTTAAGATTTAAGTGGAGATGAAGAAATCGGTCCTAAGAACACTTAATTCTACATGAGACTTTCGTAGTCTGTACTTTGGTATTCTTCTCTGATATATCTTGGTGTCATCCCAAGAATCCTTTAAAATTCTCTATTAAATCGAAATTGAAGGCATTTTCCAATAGCTTTCCTGGTGTTCTAACGTTTTGCGGTACACTGGTCACCCTGGTTAAAATTTTCAATTTTTTAATAGATATGTATATTTTGTTAAAACTACTGTAGACATTCTTAGTGCCAAGTATTATTATTATTTATCTTTATTAGGGAGGCTTTCAGCCTTGAGCTGGTTCGCCTCCAGTTAGTGCCAAGTACTCAATTTAAACATTTTATGGATATTTTTAAATTTCAATCTTATTAGTAGTGAAAAAGTGACTTTAGTGACTATTTTTAGGGAAATAGTGACTTTAGTGACTTTTTGGTGTAAAAAGCGACTTTTTAGTGATTGGCTAAAAAGTGACCTGCTATCAGCCCAGTAATTTTCAAGCACTCAACTGTCGCAAAATATTGACTAAAATATCAGCTCTACCCAGCAAAGATCCGCATCACTAGTTCCTTCACGCTATACATAAATTAAATTACATCACCGAAAGTTGGTGAAACTAACAAGCGACAAATTGGACACCACTTTGAAGGATCTCGATAGATCGCACACGACCTACCTACCTGTCAGATCAGTGTTACGCTATTCTGTTGAAATAGACTCGATTTAAAAAAAAACATTGAAACTTTCCACTGCCATTAAACCATTAAAAATCTTTACTCACTTGCCAAAATGCAACGACGAAAGACCTTGCCTGTCTCCAATCAATTTGAACCACCAACCGGATGCACCTCCGTATCTTTTAGTGCATACTCCTCACTATTCGTCTGCTTAGTATGCGGTTTTCCAATCTCTTGAATTTCTTGCAAGCGCAAACTTCTTCCCTTTCGCTTTCTTCAGGGTCACCGGAATGCAATCTTTCTCACTTCTTCGGACCGCCTTCTTCGAATTGATAGCACTCTTCTCGATTATTATTATTTCGGTCGATTTCTTCTTACACCAACCGCCATTCACAACCGACGGCACAAGTTTCGATGCTACAAAATCGAGATCAATCAAGCACAGCTTCTTTGTTCCGAGCACCGAAAAATTTGGGAAATCACAACCCTCGAATCGTCAAGATCATCGAAATATTAAGGAAAAAACGACATTCACCACTTTTGCTGCTAGAGAATCTAGTGTAAAAAGCCTCCTAAATGGTTTCTCTCTCCACTTATAGCACGCTGCTCGAATCGGTTCACAACAAGATCACACTCGACTTAATTTTCCAATTTTCCAATCATCAATCATCAACGGGCCGAATCAACAGCGCGGGCTCTTCAACGTGCGGACGTGTTACATTCACCGAAACTAATTTGACAAACACCGCCGTCGTTGTTCCACTCTGAAGTAGTAATCGATCCTTCGAAATAGCTCCACGTTTCTAGAGAAATGTTTTGCTGGTAAAGCTACGTCCAATCGGTAGTGCGCGTAAAATTCGACTAACCTGTGTGGCTCAGAGCGCAGCACGCTAGACGTCTCCTGCTGCGTTGTGTGGGGTGCTCGGGTTGGATGTTTGTTCAAGTTAAAGGCTTAAGCCTGCAATAAGGTGGAACCTTCTATGCGACGACGATGTCGCTTTCCGATCTACAAGCATTCGGACACGAGAGATATGTATACATGATGCTTGCCATGCCGCATTGTGCCACCGGCAGACAGGGTGTAGATCCGCATGCAGAGCATGCGATAGTTTGCCAACTGAGTAAGGGACCCCAAGAAAAATTGAGCTTGAAAGCTAGTCGTAAGGAAAATTCGATTAGATATGTGCATGAACTGTTAATTACTAAAATTTGCAGCTGAGTTGAAGGATGATTCAGATTGCTCTAATGTATGTATATATTGGAAACATTTAAACTCGGATAATATGAAATACTTGAGAATATGATTTTGTTGATGTTTACTTTAGAATTGTTTCGTTGATCACAGTTTGAGATTAGTCATAATATTTCAAACATCGCTAAACAGACTGATAATATACAAAGAGTAATTCTTGCTGAAACCAGTGCAAAACGAGGTTCTCAAATTCCAGTTTTGTTAGACGCATTCGGAAGTTCCAGTTATGAAAGTAGAAACATCGATCTGCAAATGTCAAATTAATGAACTCCTCGGTAACTAGGGGCTGTAACAGTTTGTAGTGCTCAATTTTGGCGTATTCTTGATTCATTAAAATGATTATATCTTTGCAAATTCTCAAGGATACCCCTTATTTTTATACTTTATAGTAAAGGACTTTAATTTGACACGTTCAAAAAATGTGGCAACCATATTTAATTTGGCCGCCATATTGTATTTATTCTTAAAAGTGCATTTTTAATTAGCTCTCCTCGCAACAGATTCTGAAAATAAGTACGCCATTAGAAAGCTGAGACTTTTTTTCCTAAATGGTACAGTTCAAATTTTGATGGAACAATCGAATTTTAAATGAAAGTAAAAAAGTTGTGTGATAAATCACATACAGCTGTGTTTGATAAAATAGCAGCGCATGCCGATTTTCATACAAAATGGTCAACTTTGACATGATGTAACTTTGTTAACTTATGATCAATTGAGCTGAAACGTTCGCCAAAGAACTACAATTTTACCTGGTGTCTCACTTTCCGGAAAGTGCTTCCAAAAATTTTATATTTTGTAATCGTAAAATTGAACATATTTGTAATTCTTTGGCGAACGTTTCAGCTCAATTGATCACAAGTCAACAAAGTTACATAATGTTTACCATTTTATATGAAAATCGGCATGAGCTGCTATTTTATCGAACACAGCTGTATGTGTCCAAAAGCGCTATTGATTCAAAACACTATATAAAATTCTCAAGATAAATCATAATCTCTGCATAGCACTAGAAAGGGGAAAGTTAGGGCTTTCATTTGGCATAACCAGAATGTTTAGCAGCCGTATTGAGTTTGGCCTCCAAAAGGAATTTTTATAATATAATGTTGATTTTCATAAGTACTGATCTCCTAGTTATCGAGGGGTACATCAATTCCAAAATAGCTGCGGATTTAAATTTTACACTACTACTTATCGAGCCCATTCCGTAGATACCCATATTGCACGGGTTTAGATGCATATTTGCTGTCCGGAGGCTGTCATATTGAATTTTGGTCTGCCCTCTTGACTTCCAAAATGGCGGCGGGTGTCAATTTCCCTCTTCTACTCATCGAGCCCATTCCGTAGATACCCATATTGCATGGGTTTAGATGCATATATGCTGTTTAGAGGCCACCATATTATGTTTTGATCCACCATCTTGAATTCCAAAATTGCGGTGGATGTAAATTTTCCACTTCTACTCATCGAGCCCATTCCGTAAATACCCATATTGCATGTGCACCAATATGCATCTATATTCGATGTCCGGAAGCCAACATATTGGATTTTTGTCGGCCATCTTGAATTCCAAAATGGCGGCAGATGTTGATTTTCCGTTTCTACTCATCAAGTCCATTCTATCCATACCGAGGGGTAAGTCACTCAGCACAGTGTGCCGAAAGTAGATTCGGCACAGCTTGGGCACATCCATTGGCACACCCTCGGCACAATCTCGTAGGCATTGGGTTGTTCATGAAATAAAATGGGAGCAATGATCACAATTTTACGTGCTGTTTGACTGTGTATTTCAGAGACATACTCTAATTGAATATACTAGAGGAACTCAGATCAGCAATTCAATTTTCGGTTCACATTTCAATTCGAAGTGTAAACTTCCGAGGGCTGTCAATTGCTATCGACGCCAGTCTCAAGTCTTCCAGCTACTACGCAACTGGAGTGTAGTACGAACCGAAATGCAAGAACAATTTGGATGGATTGGATCATGCAGTGGTGGCGGTTGGATACGGAAAACTCAAAGGAAACGATTACTAGCTAATCAAGAACTCCTGGTCCACCTACTGGGGGCAACGATGGATATGTTTTGATGGCGGTGAAGGGTAACAACTACAATGCGACGTATGTAAATTTGAAGTGAGGTTTCTGTTCATATTAGAATTAAGTAAAATAGTAGTTTTATTTTCGGATATGTGGCATCTAATTCAGTTGAGTGGAAGCAATACAAATTCCATGCGATTGTGCCGTGAAAAGTAGTTCGGTATTGTTCACGTGAGTTTGGCTTGGTAGATGACCAACTGACCGAGTGCTGGTGCTTTGCTGCTGAAAAGTATACTACAGGGTACTTACAAGGCCACAATTTTATTGCTCCTACTCAACCTAATTAACTTGCAATTTTTAAACAGAATTTCACTGATTGAAGTACTACGATCGAATTCTCCCGGAACTCCAACCCGATGGCATAACCGAACGACTTAGCTTGGGATCCTCCATCATGGCATAATCCATTCCGACGTCGAATCATCACCTTCAGCAGGTCCTCTTCCAGATTGAGCAGAAAGATGTAGTGCTGCTGAATCGTTTCCGTTGGATTGACTAGCAACGTTCGGACTACATTGGCCCACACCTAGAGCACAGATGATCGATCCGAAGTGCTGTTAGTTCTTGTCGCTGAATGCACTGAACATCAAGCTATAATTGGCTTCCGGCTGGGTAATCACCGCGTAGCAAATGTCCAACTTGTCCTTGACGAAGGCTCGCCACGATTCACAGAATTCACCCGGGAAGTTGTCCTTGGAGAAGACGCCCAAAGTTTTGCCATCCTTGGATCCCTGGATCGCCTTCAGCAGCTTTTCAAAATTGGCCTTCTCTTTGTCGTTCTTATCCCGAACCAAAAGTTTCACGGACGGAATGCCCTCCTCACCGTCCTTCTCGATAGATGGACTTTTCGCACAGCACCGCAATCGTATCGGTCAGCACGTATCCCAGCAGCCAGGTCTGCAGCGAGATGCATTTGATGTAGATGGTTTCCTCGTCTACGTCGTCAGAATGTAATCCACCTTTTGCAGCGAATCATCATAGGAAAACTCTTGTTCCTTCCAGTTGGCGTCGAGGCGTTTTATTCGTTGGTAGAAGGAATCCTTATCGAGCACGATAGTCGGCATTTTTGGGGCCGTTCAACTATCGCATCCAACGGTTTTCGATGCGGGGACACTTCCGGTGGTTCTCTGGATTTTTATCTTTGTTGTGTCCTGTTGGATGGCTGAGATCGCTCACGGTTCCTCTCGCCAGCATTACTCCGTGGTTGTCGCTAGATCTCTGTTATCCTTGCGATTGCAAACCAATACATTTATGCTGTCAGAAATACCGGGTTGCCTAATGTACCATAGTCATAGTATTCATATTTTACAAAAAGTCACAGCTTGCTCTATGACCGGCACTGCCGGCACACTTGCAGCACACTGAAAAAAAATTTGACCCAAGATTGGTGTGCGGAGTGATCTACCCCTTAATACATACCCATATTGCATGGATTTAGATGCATATTCGCTGTCCGGAGGCCACCATATTGAATTTTTTTGTCGGCCATCTTGAATTCCAAAATGGCAACAGATGTCAATTTTTCACTTCTATTCATCGAGCCCATTCTGTAGATTACCATATTGCATGGATTTAGATGCATATTCGCTGTCCGGAGGCCGCAATATTGGATATTGGTCCGCCATCTTGGATTCCAAAATGGTGACGGATATCATTTTTCCATTTCTTCTCATCGAACTCATTCTGTAGATACCAATATTGCATGGATTTAGATGCATATTCGCTGTCCGGAGGCCGCCATATTGGATATTGGTCCGCCATCCTGAATTCCAAAATGGTGGCGGATATCAATTTTCTACTTCTTCTCATCGAGCCCATTCCGTAGATACTCATATTGCATGCGTTTAGATGCATATTCACTGTCCGGAGGCCGCCATATTGGATGGTGGCGGATGTCAATTTCCCACTTCTACTCATCGAGCCCATTCCGTAGATACCCATATCGCATGGGTGTAGATGCATATTCGCTGTTTAGAGGCCGTCATATTGCATTTTGGTTCACCATCTTGGATTCCAAAATGGCGGCGGATGTAGATTTTCCACTTCTACTCATCGAGCGCATACCATGCATACCCATACTGAATAAGTTTAGATGTATATTTGTTGTCCGGAGGCCACCATATTGAATTTTGATCCGTCATCTTGAATCTCAAAATGGCGGCGGATATCGGTTTCTTGCTTTTACTGTAATACCAAGGTATTGATTTGTCGTTTGGGGATTTTGTACCACAAAATCAGCTAAGGTTAAAATCAGCCTTGATTTTCTGTTTGTGATTTTGCTACTCTCAAGAGCAGCAGTAAGTTTCGCCCGTGCCTGATTTTGGATTTTTTTGAATTTTACCATCACTGCAAGCACATATCTAGATAGAGCAGGAATTAGGGCGTAACAGCTTTTGTAAACAACGATTTCTCTCGATGATTTTTACGAATTCAAGGCATGCCCACGCAAAGCAACATAACCATCGGGTAGGGGAAGTCTTCTCATACCTGTGAAAATCCGCCGATATTAGTTATGGGCAGCTAATTATTGTTGGACTTACCCGTGCAGCAGCTGA